TTTCTTGTTCCATCACACCACACTACACTGCCTTAAATTAGATATGAGAATTTCCCTAACTCTAAGAATGAATCAATACTGCAAGATGCTACCTGGAGCATTCCTGTGATTCCTGTCCTCTAAAAATAGGATAGGCAGCTATCTCTTTTGGATAGTTTAAACAGTCCCCTGTTTGTAGGCAGGGACCTAGGCTAGGAGTTCTTATGAAGTACAGTTCATCTCAATAATTCTTAGTCTCCATCACCAGCTGTGTGGCCTTGAATGTAATTTAAAGTGCATTATAATGAAGAGTGTCTTGGGTGATATTTATGTTTGTGGAGAAAAAAAAATAGCTAGCAAGGCATATCTCTCTGTAGATTATTCTTCATTATTTTTATATGTTCTACACAGACCTGAGCCATATTAAGTTAATAAATTGTAAATGTATTTACTAATAGGCAAATAAATACTTTAAAGGGTTTAGTCAAAATAGGAATTCTATATAAATGTACAGTAATATGTTTTGACGTCTCTGCTAACACTGCGAATACTCCTTGTCAATTTAGCAGGACCTATTCAACCAAATGTTAGTTTCTAGGTTGATTTTCTGAGGCCTTCAGGACCCTAAACCTTGCTTGAGGCTGTTTGGGCAGTAGCATCTGATAATAGTGTTTGACTTTAGTTCTAAAAGGGTGCTTATCATAATATCATTAAATTATCTTCCTATATTCTGAAATGCTTAGCAGTCCAGCTCACTTCAGTGTTTTGTTTACAATCTTTTTCTCCACCCCAAACATTACTGATGAACATTCAAACATTTCAGCCTCCCAGTTCATCAGCCTCTTTAGCCTCCATTACTGATAATTCCACACTACCATAGCCACCTTTAGGGCTGTCATACCTTATATTTCATTATCATTTAAAATGTACCACTCCTATGATCTTGAACAGTAAAATTTCATTCTCTCATCATAATCTTCTCTCCTTCTGTCTCTCCCTCTGCCTGACTCCTCTGAATTCTGTTGTCCTGCTTTCAGTTCTTCATCCATAATCCGTCCCGCAGTCTGTCTGCTCCTTCCAGTTTTTCCAGTCTATCACCTCGGCTCTGGCCTCCCTTTTCTCCCTTCACAATCTTAACAATCCGTCTATGTACTGTTCTCCACCCTTGAATCTCTTTTCCCCTTGTACTTCCCCTATTTATGTGCTGCCAGTCCTCAGCCGTGGATTACCTTCTCTCTCTGCCTTCTCCACTGGAGTGGACAAAGTGCTAAAGGAAACCACATGACAATTCCAAATGGGTCTACTATGTTTACATTATCTAGTCTCAACTGAGCCATCATTGAGGGCAAGCACTTCACAAATATTATTTCATTTAATCCTCACAAGAACCCTGGGAGATAGGTGCTGTTATTATCTCCATTTTTAATAGTTGGGAAAACTGAGACAGACAAGAATTAAGTGACTTGCCCAGGGTCACACAGCTTGAATCTGAGAGCAAATTTGAATTTAGGATTACTGACTCCAGGTCCAGTTCTCTATCCATTGTGTTACCTAGATACCTCTGTTTTTTGTTTTGTTTTGTTGGTTGGGCAATGGGGTTAAGTGACTTGCCCAGGGTCACACAGCTGGTAAGTGTCAAAGGCTGGATTTGAACCCAGGTCTTCCTGACTCCAGAGCCGGTGCTCTATCCACTGCATTACCTAGCTACCTAGATGCCTCTGATATGACCATGTTACTTCCCTACTCAAAAACCTGCTTGTTGCCCTTAGGATAAAATACAAATTTCTCAGCTTGGCATTTTACAGCATGCCACAGATTCCAGTTTTACCTTTTTTATTTATTGTTATTTGTTTGTTGTTTTTTTATTTACTATTATTCTTATTTATTGTTATTTCTTCTTAGAACCTGGGCCTGGAATCAGTCTGAATTCAAATCCACTCTCAGACCCTTACTATCTGTGTGCCCCTGGGCAAGTCTCTTAACCTCTGTCTGCCTCAGTTTCCTTCTCTGTAAAATGGAGCTAATGATGGCACCTACCTATCAGGATCATTGTGAAGACAAAATGAAAGAATGTTTCATGAAGCTTTTACAAATGCTAGTTGTTATTATTATTATTATTTACTCTATGCTCTAGCCAAACTGCACTGCTAGCTATTCCCTCTATTTAACATAGTATCTCCTTCTTCTGTGAATTCACATAAGCACATGTTTGGAATATTGACCTTTCTCACCTCCACTTCTTAGAATCTCCATTTTTCTTCCTCGAGGTTCAGGCTCCACTTCCTCCATGAAAGGCTTCTCTGATTCCTAGTTGTCAGTCTTCTCTCCCTTCTCAAATTACCTTCTATTTAATTACGTGTGTAGATTTTGCATCTCCTGTTAGACTATTAGCTCCCTGAAGGCAAGCAGCTGTTCTTGTTCTTATACCCCTGGGCCTTGCACTATGCTTTGCAAATAGTAGATAGTAAAAATGTTGTATTCATTTGAATTGGACAAGGCAGAATCCTGTTCCTACCCCAAAAAACACATGTAGAAAAACTGCTTTGCTAAGTACACACTCATAATACCCTGCCGCTTCTTGTGCCACCTCCTGTTTGGCTGGAATACACAGTAGAAGGAAGGAAGTAATGCTGAGTAAGGCTAGAAATGGGAGTTATGGTTGGGCCAAGATGATTGCATAGAGTAGTGTTCACTAACACCAGGAGCACCTGCCAAGGGTGGTGATTCCATGACAGACCTATGGCCAAATGCATCTTCCTCATTTGTAAAATGAGAGGACTCGACGAGATGAACCGTAGATTCCTTTCATTCGACATGACTTTATCTTGCTGTGGAGCTTTATCACACTGTAGGCCCTAAAGAAGGGGAAGCTCATTTGTTCACTGAACCTGTATGCCTCTGATGACGACTCCATCAGTGTATTGGGAATAGGAGTGGGGGAAATGTGATACACTGAAGCCCTGGCTTTCCCTTATGTCTGAAATGCATTCCTTCACTGCTCACCTTGACCTCTTATAGAATCCCTGACTTCCTTCAAAAATCAACTCAAATGCCACCTTCTGCCAGAAGCTTTTCTTGGTGGCTCCAGAAACTACGGACTCCACACCTTGTATCTACTCATTATATGTATTGTGCACAGCTGTTGTCATCTCCATTAGAAGGTAAGCTTCTTGAGGGCAAAGCTGTTTTCACTTTTTTGGAAGGCATTCCTAATGATTGGCACAAGTTCCTGGCACCTGTTAAGTGTATAATAAATATTTGTTATGGAGAAGTTTGGCAGCTATGTGGATGCAGTGGGTAGATTGGTGGCACAGTGGATAGAATGTCTGGCCTGGAGTCAGGAAGACTCATCTTTCTGAGTTCAAAGTTTGCCTCAGACACTAGCTGCATGATCCTGGGCAAATCACTTAACCCTATTTGTCCCAACTTCCTCATCTGTCAAATGAACTGAAGAAGGAAATGGCAAATCACTTTAGTATCTTTGCCAAGAAAACCCCAAATGAGATCACAAAGAGTCATACACAACTGAAAAAATGACTGAACAATAGTTAGAAATTTTTCCCTTTGTTGTTCAGTCGTTTCAGTTGTATCTAACTCTTCATGAACCCAATTTTGGGGTATAACCATATACTAACTCAATGGGCTGCCCCTTGAACTCCATGTTGTTACCTGGGCAATATATGCTCTTCATCCATTTTGTTTTTTCAGTATGGATGGCTAGGCTAATTACTTTTCAATGACTAGAGATTTCATGAGAGAGGCTTTGTAGTCTATGACAGAGAGAGAGAGGGTGCCTAATTAATGATAAGGAGCCTTTCTTTCACTGGAGACAACATGATATTCACTACTATTGATTAGTATGGATCCAGGTTCAAATCCTAGCACTGCCATTTATCAGCTGGATAGAGTTCTGGGCCTAGAGTCAGGAAGACTGACTTCAAATCCAGCCTCAGACGCTTTGTAGCTATGTGAGTCTGGTAAATCACTTAACCTCTGTTAGCCTCAGTTTTCTTAGTTATAGAATTAGGACAATAACACAACCTATCTTGCAGGGTTATTGTGAGTTAAAGCTCTTGTAGAGTACTTGGCACATAGTAGGAACATATAAAAATGCTTCCCCTAGGTCATCTTAATGCAGGCCACAGTTTCCTCATCAATAAAAGGACTAGATGACCTCTAAGATTCCTTTTAGGGCTAGATTTTTGATCCAAAGATCCTTCTACTGTCATAAAGCAAAAGCCCTTAATTCTTTCTGACCTTGCCAGTATGTTTAATGGGTTTATGTCTATATAACCAACTATCATTCCATTGGAAGGAGTTGTGCCCCTTTTGTCTGATACATATGAGTCCGTGTCTGGCTTCTTCCCATACTCTAGTTACCCAGCAGTCTTTGTCACTAACATATGCCTTCAGTCTTCCAACTCTATTATTCCTAGTATCCACTCTTTTCGCCAGGTAAATTGCTTTCCCTTCAACTTTCTTTTCAACTCTCATTCCAATTCAGCTCAGTGCCACCTTCCACACCTGCTCTTCTTTCTCTCAGACAGACCCTCCCAAATAAATTATAGGTTCTGCTGTAAAGTCTACTACGGTACAACCCCCATTGTCCTGTGGGCAAACTACACTAAAAATCTTCTCCCTCCCTCCACCTTCTCTGGAAAGAACACTGGAATTGGAGTGAGAAGATTCCACTTTAAGAGTGTCTGGTACTCAGGGTTGTCCCTTTAATGACATAATGGATCAAAGTTAAAGCATAATTATAGTAAAGGCCATTCCAAATAGGATAGCTAGGAAGTGACTGGTAGAAGAATCAGAGGAAAAAGAGGATGATTTGATGAAGGTGCTATGGGGTAGACCATACATATATTTTCTTTTTCTTTTTTCTTTTATTGGCTAGGCAATGGGGTTAAGTGACTTGCCCAGGGTCACACAGCTAATAAATGTCAAGTGTTTGGTCTGAGGCCGAATTTGAACTCAGGTCCTCCTGACTCCAAGTCTGGTGCTATATCCACTGCGCCACCTAGCTGCCCCCATACATATGTTTTCAAATAGACCAATCTTTTAAAGGAGGCGGCACATGTTTCATTGTCTTAATGACTTATAAGAAAGAAGGAAGAACAATATCTGTAGAGAGAAGTCTCTAAGGCAACTGAAGCTGGACACCTGTGCTTCCCAGTTGCTTTATCTTAGGTATCTTGTTACTGTATCAACAGAGATAGCATATAAATAATGTACTCAGAGCCAGTTCCCTCATTAACATGAATAAGCCTTCATTTTCTTGAGTCAGTCAGTTTCATTAACACACACACACACACACACACACACATACATACATACATACATACATACATAAGGGGACTGGCGAGACCAGTTGTGTAGATTCCTCTGCAGTGCACAGAAAAGAGGCAAGGATATCATAAAAACTGGGGCTGAATAGAATTTGGTAAGCTGCAATGGTGTGGATGTTGACTACCAAGGGACACTTAATGCTTTGATATTTCTTAGCTGAGAATAAGTTATAAATACCCTATAGAAAGAATGAGTGCATTCTTTTTCTTTTACCTCAGGGGCTACTATGGCTGCAAACCCTTACATACTAATAATCCCAAAGAGAGTTTCCCAGTGAATATAGTCCACTGCCCAATTCCTGGCATATCCCTTTGGAAAGGGACTCACTCACTTGGGAATAGGAGTAAAGGAACTATTGAGATGATAAGCAGGCATGATATTCCATAACCTCCCATAGATGTGAGAGAAAACTTGATGGACAACTTGATATAGTGGGTCTTGGACCAAGTAGGAGGAGGCATACAGCATAAAGTTGGGGAAGGTCATCCAGGACAGTATGGCATATTGGAAAAGAACACTGGATTTGGAGTCAGAGGACCTGGGTTTGAATCCTATCTCTACTACTTGTTCCCAGTGTGATTTGGGGTAACTGAGGGTCTCAGTTTCCTCATCCATAAAAATTAGGTTGGATGACCTATGAGGTCCCTTCCAGCTCTAATATGTGATATTTTCCTAAAGTATTTGGTCTCACTATGAGTATTGATCAAGTATAGGGACAGTAGCTTTGTTTTTCACATTAGCAGTGGCAGCCTTCTTGGTCTTAGTGACAATGATCAGCAACTGACTTTGCTAGCAGCATGTGAAGGAATGCCTGTGTTGGCATGTTAATGACCTTATTTCACCCATGTAGGAGATGGCAATTGGATTTTCAGTGTCAGTGATATTGTAAAAAAGGGTGATATAGTAGAAGGAGGAGTCAAGAGAGACCTGGGTTTTAGTGTGTCATGACAATCTGTCATGGGAACTGGTGACCAGGGGTATTGTCCCAACACCAACAACAGAGGACTGAGATTTGAAGATCTTCCTTTCTGTGAGTATAGAGGGAAAGAAGGATTTTTCAATGACTGACATGAAGTGTGTGATATTTGTCTTTCTGCCATGGCCACTGTTGCCTGAGCTGGAAGTACAAGTTGACCTGCATCTTAGAGAAAAAGGTGAAGGAGCAGCTGGAATAGCAGTCTGCTTTACAGGTCATCAACAAGAATGAAGTGGAGCATGATGGACAGAATTATAGACTCTCAGAGTCTGAAAGGCTGTCAGAAGCCACCTAAAACAAACAATACGGAAATAAGAATGATCTTTACAACATCCTCAATGGAAGGTTATCTGACTTTTCCTAGAAGATCTCTGGCAAAGGGGAACCTTCTGACTCCTGTGGCAGCATTCAAGTGAAGATCAACTGAAGAAAAATCAGAAGCCATGTTGTCCTTGGTGTGTAACACAGACCACCTGGAAAAAGGGAGGAAATAAATCACAAACTTGGTGCAATGGGGTGCAATGGCCTTATGCAGTATAGGATGTGTGTGTATCTTCAATTATTTGGACTTCTTCCAGAGATCTCTTCCTGCCTAAAGCAGATACTCTCAATCCACTTGCAATAATCACAACATTCTCCCTAAAGATATCTATCAAAACTTCTTTCTCAAAAGTTATCACTGATCTCAAGAGCTTAATAAGTTATAAGATCATAGACCTGAAGCAGGAGTGATTCTTAGAGGTCATCAGCTATAACTCCCTCATTTTACAGATGAGGAAATTGAGGTACAGGAAGGCTAAATAACTGGCCCAGGGTCAAGTATCTATTAAGTATCTGAGGTAGGATTTAAACTCAGGTCTTCCTAACTCCCAAATTCAGTGACCTCTCCATGGTGTCATGCTGCTTTATAAAACACTATATGGCTTCATGATCCAAATCCAATGGCCTTTATTTAGTCCTCATCCTCCTTGACTTTTGGGGGTAGTTTTTGACATTATTGATCACCCCCTTCTTATATATATTCTTGGTGTCCTTTATACTGATTGTTTCCTGGTTTGGTGAAGTAGAAAATGTATTGGACATGATGTCAGAAGGACTGGGCTTCAATTCTACCTCAGATACTTAACCTAGCGAGGTGACCTCGGGAAAACCATTTAGACACTCACTCTCAGTGGCCTTATCTACAAAATGGGGATAATAATACTTGTACTATCTACTTCCCGGGACTATTGTGAGGAAAGCACTTTGCTTACCTTAAATGCTATGTGAAAGTTGAATTAAAATGAAGAGCAGAACATTGAATAAGTTCTTGACTTACCTTAATAATATTATCCTCCGGGAGGCAGAGGAAGTGACAAGGGGTGCTGCTATTCTGAAGTCATTTGGGTCAACAAAGAAGTATTTGCTGAAGTAGGAATGGCTACCTTGAGAAAAACTAACCACTCTATCTATATATCTATATCATATATGTGCATATGATATAGAACAAGAGAAAATCTGGGTATAGTGTGACATGCACAAAAGATTTTGGTAGAACATATTTCAAAGGGCACTGAAAAAGGATACAAAGTGTGAGCCATAGTGAGTGGGTTTTTTTAAAAAATATTATAGAGAAGTTCAGAAGGACTTGATATGGGTACATGTTCCTATTTTCAAAAATGGAAGTCAGTAGAGTCTGCAAACAATAAACCAGAGAGTTTGATTTGTATTCCTGTAAAAATTCTTGAACACCTTAAAGAGATGGTCAGTCAACATCTAGAAAAACAAATGGGGGCAGCTAGGTGGTTCAGTGGATAGAGCACCAGCCCTGGAGTCAGGAGGACCTGAGTTCAAATCTGGCTTCAGACACGTAACACTTACTCTCTGTGTGACTCTGGGTAGGTCACTTAACCCAAATTGCCTCACCAAAAAAACCCCCAAAAACCAAAAAAAAAAAACCAAACCAAACCAAAACAAACTAAAAACCAAACAAACAAAAACAAATGGTGACCATAAAGAGTCAGCAGGATATCATTAAGAATAGGACATGCCAGACTAAACTCATATCCTTCTTTGACAAGGTAATGATATTTGTTGAGTAAAGAATGTTATATAGTTTACATAGATTTCAGCAAAGCATTTAGCAAAGTCCCCATGCTATTTTTGTGTCCAACTAGAGAGATATTGGCTGGAGGATAGTGCACTTAAGTGCATTTGGAATAGAATGCTATGACCAGAACCAAGGACTAGACACTCACAAGTCATTGTTGAGATCAATATGAAGAAAAGTCTTTATTGTAGTTTCCCAGAGATCTGTGTTCTTCAAAACTGTTTTCAGTGATTTGCATGGAGATATAGATGACATGCTTGTCAAATTTTTGGATGATGCAAAGTAGAATATAGCTGACACTCTGGAAGACAGAATTCACAGGATCAGTTCCTGAATTACTCAGGATCCATAACTTAAGGTGATATTTCACAGGGAGTCAGGACAATCTAAGTTCCAGTCTGGCCTCAACTATTTATTAGCTATGTGATCCTGAGCAAGTCATTTAACTTTTGTCTACCTCAGTTTCCTCATCTGTAAAATGGGGATAAAAATAGCACCTACCTCCTTAGGTTGTGAGGATAAAACGAGATGATAGTAGTAAAGTGCTGAGCATAGTGCCTGGACCATAGTAGGCACTTTAGCAATGTTGGCTATTATTGATCACACCTTCCTTCTGGATTCTTTGTCCTCTCTTGGATTCTGGGTCAGTCCTTTTTTTTGGTTTTTCTTCTTCCTGTCTGACTATTTCTTCTCAGTCTCTCTTTTTAATTATTTTTTAATTTTTATTAATTTATTTTGATTTATCAACAATCACTTCCATAAGGTTTTGAGTTTTAAATTTTTCTCCCCTTTCCTCTCCACCTCCCTCTCTAAGATGGCATGCAATCTGATATAGGCTATACATATACATTCCTATTAAACATATTTTCACATTAGTCATGTTGTAAGGAAGAATTAGAACCAATAGGAGGAACCACAAGAAAGAGGAAACAAAACAAAACAGAAGAAAAAAAGAAAAGCAAATAGTATGCTTGGATCTGCATTCAAACTCCATAGTTCTTTCTCTGGATGTGGATAGCATTTTCCATCATGAGATTTTTGAAGATATCTTAGATCCTTCCATTGCTGAGAAGAGCTGTCTATCAAAGTTAGTCATTGCACAATGTGACTGTTGCTGTGTACAATATTCTCCTGTTTCTGCTCACTTCACTCAGCATCAGACCATACAAGTCTTTCCAGGTTTTTCTGAAGTCTGCTCATCATTTCTTCTAGCACAGTAGTTTAGTCTCTTTTAAAAGTTCATCATTTACCTCTCACCTTAAGTGTGTCTATCATGGTTCTGCCTTGGGCTTTCTTCTTTTCTTTTTATATATCCTCTCAATGATCTCATCATCTCTCATGGGTTTAATTTTCATCTTTATACAAATGATTCTCAGATTTATAAATCTAGCACTAGTCTCTCTTTTGTATCACCAACTGCCTATTAGTTATCTCCAAATGGGTTTCAGAGAGGCATCTTGAACTCAACACATCTAAAACAGAACTCACCATCTTTCACTCCAAACCCACCCCTCTTCCTTTGGCTTTTTTTAAAGTAATTTAAAAAAAAAACTATATTATTTATTTATTTTTAGCATTATTTTCTTTTTAAATTTTGAGTTCTACATTCTCTTCCTCCCTCCCACCTCTCCCCTAGCCACTATGAAGGCAAGCAAAATGATACCAATTAGACATGTGAAACCATGCAAAACATATTTTCATAATAGCAGTATTGCAAAAAAGGAAAAAGAAAAAAGAAAGAAAATTATACTTCAATTTGCACTTGATATACTTCAATATACTTGATATACTTCAATTCTCTTTCTGGAGGTGGATAGCAGTTTTTTTTTCCTTGAGTTTTTTGGAATTGTCTTGGATCTTTGCACTGATCAGAGTAGCCCAGTCTTTCACAGTTGATCATCACTGCAACATTGCTGTTACTGCAATGATCTCTTAGTTTTTCTCACTTCACTTTGCATCAGTTCATATAGTTCTTGCTATGTTTTTTTTTTCTGAAACCACCCCATCATCATTTCTTATAGGACAAATGCACTCCATCACAATCATATGCTACAATTTGTTCAGCCATTCTCCAATTGATAAGCATCCCCTCAATTTCCAATTATTTGCCACCACAAAAAGAGCTGTTACAAATATTTTTTGTACATATGGATCCTTTTACTTTTTTTTTGATCTCTTTGGAGTGCAGACCTAGTAGTGGTATTGCAGTGTCAAAGGATATGCATAGTTTATAGCCCTTTGAGCATAGTTCCAAATTGTTCTCCAGACTGGTGGGACCAGTTCATAAATCCACTAACAGTTTATTAGTATACATATTCTCCCTTACAACTTCAAACATCTGTCACTTCTTTATTTATTTATTTTTATTTTTTGTTATAGTTTTTTAAATTAATATATTAATTTATTTTTAGTTTTCAACATTTACTTCCACAAGATCTTGAGTTCCAAATTTTCACCCCATCTCGCCCCTCCCCCCACCCCAAGATGGCATGCATTCTGAATACCCCTTCCCCTGGTCTGCCTTCCCTTCTATCTCTCCCCCCCTTCTCTTATTCCCTTCCCTTTCAATTTTCCTGTAGGGCAGGATGGATGTCTGTACCCCATTTCCTGTATTTCTTATTTCCCAGTTGCATGTGAAAACATTTTTTTTAAACATGTGTTTTTAAAACTTTGGGTTCCAAATTTTTTCCCTTCCTCCCTCCCCACCCACCCTCACTGAAAAGGCAAGCAACTCAATATAGGTTATACATACGCAGTTATGCAAAACACTTCCATAGTAGACATGCTGTGAAAAACTAACTCTGTTTCCCTTAATCCTGTCTTGCCCCCCCATTTATTCTATTCTTTCTTTTGACCCTGTCCCTCCTCAGAAGTATTTGCTTCTGATTACCCCTTTCCCAATCTGCCCTCCTCTCTATCATCCCCCTACTCTCTTGTCCCCTTCCCCCCCATTTTCCTGTAGGGTAAGACAGATTTCCATACCTAATTGAGTGTGTATATTATTCTCTTCTTAAGTCAAATCCTATGAGAATAAGATTCACTCATTCCCTCTCACCTTCCCCTGTTTCCCCTCCACTGTAAGAGCCTTTTCTTTTCTGTTTTTTTGTGAGATAATTTACCCCATTCTACCTCTCCCTTTCTCCTTCTCCTAGTATAATCCTCTGTCACCCCTTAATTTTATTCTCCAGATATGACCCCTTCATCTTCAACTCACCCTGTGCCCTCTATCTATCTATCTATCTATCTATCTATCTATCTATCTATCTATCTATCTATCTATATACATACATATAATTTTTTCCCTCCAACTACCCTAATACTGACAAAGGTCTCATGAATTACAAAATCATCTTTCCATGCAGGAATGTAAACAGTTCAACCTTAATAAGTTTCTTATGATTTCTCTTTCCTGTTTACCTCTTCATGTTCCATTTGAGTCTTGTATTTGAAACTCAAATTTTCTATTCAGCTTTGGTCTTTTCATCAAGAATGCTTCAAAGTCCTCTATTTCACTGAATGACCATTTTTTCCACTGAAGAATTATACTCAGTTTTGCTGGGTAGGGGATTCTTGGTTGTAATCCTATCTTCTTTGCCCTCCGGAATATTATATTCCATGCCCTGTGGTCCCTTAATGTAGAAGCAGCTAAATCTTGTGTTATCCTGATTGTGTTTCCGCAATACTTGAATTGTTTCTTTCTGGCTGCTTGTAATATTTTCTCCTTGACCTGGGAACTCTGGAATTTGGCTACAATATTCCTAGGAGTTTTCCTTTGGGGATCTCTTTCAGGAGGAGATTGGTGGATTCTTTCAATTTCTATTTTGCCCTCTGGTTCTAAAATATCAGGGCAGTTTTCCTTGATAATTTCTTGAAAGATGATGTCTAGGCTCTTTTTTTGATCATGGCTTTCAGATAGTCCAATAATTTTTAAATTCTCTCTCCTGTATCTATTTTCCAGGTCAGTTGTTTTTCCAATGAGATATTTCACATTGTTTTCTAATTTTTCATTCTTTTGGATTTGTTTTGCAGTGTCTTGATTTCTCATTAAGTCACTAGCTTCCAATTGCTCTATTCTAATTTTTAAGGAAGTATTTTCTTCAGTAAGCTTTTGGACTTCCTTTTCCATTTGGACAATTCTGCTTTTTAGGGCATTCATCTCCTCATTGACTTTTTGGACCTCTTTTGCCATTTGGGTTAGGCTATTTTTTAAGGTGTTATTTTCTTCAGTATTTTTTTGGGTCTCCTTTAGCAAGCTGTTGACTTGTTTTTCATGATTTTCTTGCATTACTCTCATTTCTCTTCCCAGTTTTTCCTCTACTTCTCTTACTTCCTTCTCAAAATCCCTTTTGAGCTCTTCCAAGGCCTGGGACTGATTCATATTTTTCTTGGAGGCTTTGGATGTAAGAGCTTTGACTTTGTTGTCTTCTTCTGGTTGGATGTTTTGATTTTCTTTGTCACCAAAGTAAGGTAATATAGTCTGACTCTTTTTGTGCTGCTTACTGATGATCCTGGCCAATTACTTGAGTTTTAAACTCTCTGTTAAGGTAAGAGTCTGCTTCCAATGTGAAGAATGTACTGTCCCAAGCTTCGGGGTTTGTACAGCTGTTTTCAGAGACACTTCTAGGGACCTGAAAATTTTCAGTTCTTCCAAGGTGGTTTGATAAAGGGCGAGGTGTTTCCTCTCCACTGCCACAACAAGCTCCACCATGCCAGCACTCCTTCTCAGCCCAGGACCACCCCTCAGAACTGTGACCCAGATCCAAGCACGGGCAAAGCAGGAGATTCCTACCTCAGCACTGGCAAAGAGATCCCTGCAATCCCTCTCTTATCAGCCACTCAATTCCCCCTCAGTCTGTGGGCTCAGGAGGCAACTGTGGCCCTGGGGTCGTGCTTGGGACTTGCGGCTGAGACCTAGCTTCTCTCTTACCGCAGAAACAGACTTTTCTCACTGACTTGCTAAGTTGTCTTTGGTGTTTGTGGGTTGAGAGGTCTGGAAACCACCACAGCTGCCCATGATTCAGTCCTCTGAGGCCTGCTCCAGGTTCGCTGTGGCCTGCGGGCACATGCCAAACTGCGCTCCTCTCCCTACCTTGCGTGATATACCTTTCTGATCAACCATCCAGGCTGCCTTGGGCTGGAAATTTGTTTCACTCTGTCTTTTTGTGGGTTCTGCTGCTTTAGAATTTGTTTAGAGTCATTTTTAATAAGTATTTGGAGGGGTCTGGGGGAGAGCTCAAGACAGTCACTGCTTTCACTCTGCCATCTTGGCTCTGCCTATCTGTCACTTCTGATGTGAAGTGG